ATATCACAATAAAAAGTCCACGGTATGATATTTATCGCGATATTGAAAAATAAAGTTAAAAAAAATTAGAATTTTTTTTTTACTTGAATTTTTTTTCTTTATTAAATAATAAATCTGATTTGTACAGCATTTTAGTAGGATAGTATTTTGAAGTGTCAACAATATAATAATCAGACCCTGCAATAGAATAAATCAAGTTTCACTTTAGTTTTTCAAGTAACTCAACTCTAACTCACTCACTCAGTATCATCAAGGTTATCTTTTAGGAATATGAGCATGTCCACATTTCGAGGTAGAAGCTGGGATGTTTGGGCGTTTACAATATCCCATGCTGTGGAAAAAAACTCTCTTGCTTGGTACTGATATTGCTGGGACAGAGAGATATGCTTTAGCCATGGGTAAAAGCAGTGGGTAAAACTGTGCATTGTCTCTCCACCACTTCAAAACAATACAGTTTTTGCCAAGAAGGTGAGGCTTATTGACAGGGCGAGATATAAATATACTGTTGGTACTTGTCAATGTCTCTAGGTATGTACATGTAACCCTGTAAATACGATGTCCTTTATTGTTATCTGTTGTTTTATGTTCATGTTGTAACCTACTTGCTGCCATGTTGGACAGGTCTCCCTTGAAAAAGAGATTGATGATCTCAATGGGACCACCTGGTTGAATAAAGGTTTTATAAAAAAATTAAAAATAAATTGCGGTATATTTTGTCAGTCTCACGACGGTATCGAGACATTTATTTACCGCGATATATCGTTACATCCCTATATTTTAAGGAACAATAATTACTTAAAGTTAAATGTTTAACTATTAAGTACCCCACTTAGTAACTTTCCCACTAACACTCTTTATTGAAAAGGTTATTTGTTTTGTTAAGAAATTGATATCAGCCAACATAGTTATTAATCTTTGTTAAAAGGTCATTCTTGACATCACCTCATCTTTTCATACTCTTTCATTTAATCTTCTCAAAGGTACAATGTCCATAACTAAAGGATGTGACCAAAACAAGGAAAAAACGAACTGCTGCTGCCTCACAAAAAAATGACCACACATTAAAATACGATTGGATCAAGATATGTGAGATTAATTGAACTGTTTTTTAAGGACAAATGTTAGATCAGACAAGTTAATAACATTGGCTGCCAGCAGTGTAAATACCTATAGGGTAGGACGAGGCAAGTCAAAATGTGGCTCATTGTTTAAATGAAACTGAAGTGGCTGGGAGGAATGTCAGTAAAGGCTGTGTTTATCTCTCCCTAACTGACATCTTCAAAATAAATATCCTCAAACCTCGTCAGTCTTCTAGTTAACAAGAATGGCAAACATTTACTCATTCTGTATTGTCAAATAACCTTAACCAAACATCAAGGTGTCCTGTAACAAGTTTGTAAAAAGAGTCGAGAGAGAGAGAAGAAAATAGTTTAATCTCAATAAATATAGCATGCTATGTCAGTGGTGAGGTGTAAAGTGTCTTATAAGTTGACACTGAACCTCCAGCCAAGCAGGGCGTAAAGTGGCCGGTGATAATATGGCTGTGGTCTGTGTATTGCAGCAACTACCTCCACCCACAACTTAACTGTTGTAACTTGTTACAGTACATTGATTTGTAGTCAAGCAGTGGGCTACAGATAATGCATTGCTTCAACAAATATATAGTATAAAGCTACGCTCTGACTAGAGAAAGGCGCATGTAGCAAATAACTTCATATAAAACATATGTTCTCTAACATATTATGCAAATACACCAGTGCAACATTCATCAAAACAATATGGGTCATCAACACTGCTATAAGACCACCAAAGCAGGCAGGACAGCCATATGTTGGATAACATTAGTTAATCACAAATCTTTTGATGTTAGATGTGGGAAAAAAGGCCAGTTTATTACGCTACTCCAAACATTTACAGTCCAGGTTATATGTCAGCCTTAAAAATAATGTTTGTTTTGTACTTCCCTGTTAATCACATGGTGCTGATAAGTGACACAATGACACACAAGGTATTCAGTAATGTATCAACGTGGACACTAATATTTCTCTCAAATGTCCTTCCTGGATGAATCCCATTTTGGAATCATTGTTTGTTTTTCTAAGAAGGATGTTGACACACTTTTTCCACAGAAAAAAGGCAAAGCAGTGAGGAATGCTACAGTGTTGCATGCTATCCTGCATCTCAGTCAACTCGTACAGAGCTCTTATGTGGCTTGGGAGTATTCCACATAGCCTCCAGGTCTGGATACTAGTTGAGACATGGGATACTCAAATAGCCCATTGTAAAAGAGCAGTTTGTCTCGTCACAATGTAGAAGTGAACACTTTGGCCACATATTCCCCAACAACAAAGCCTTGTTTTTCTTGCTTTCTTATGACCAAACATCCATGTTATGTTTAATACATGAACTATTATCTAATGAAGGCCAGATTCCGGGAAAGCAGGAACTGAATCAAACGTATTACCTAGCCCCGATTCCCCTCCTCCACTCCACATTTTTCACTCTCACTCTAATCAGCCCACGGGCCATAAATTAGATTTATCACTGGCACCAATTGGATAGGGGAGAAAAAAGGGACTAGCAAAGATGAAGGCAGAGGGAGAATGGAGGCCAAGTCACAAAGAGCAGGGGCCATGAGCCATGGTTGAGCCATGTATCACAGCTGTTTGAGTTCACACCACCAGTCAGTGTTGAAAAAACTAATATCCTAAGAGTATCATATTGACAAAAACCAAATCAATACAATTAAGAATATCCATGAAAATTAACATTTCGGAAAATAATTATGTCTTGAAACATTGCGGACCCATTGGCCAATACTGATTTGAAATACTCCATGTTCTGAGTAGCATCCTCACAATTCCTGTAGACGTAGTATTAACACATCTGGTGTGTTGTTGTGACCATCAGAGTCCCTGCAGGGCATGCAGCCCTCAAATGTCTGACACAGGAAACTTGGAAAAGCAGGAGCTGTGCAGCACAAACATGCAACTAAACTGTCACAGAAGTAACCTTTAATAGGACTACAATAAGGGGCCAGGCAATTGCACATATCCTCAAAATAAACCACAGCACACTGGTTGCCAAAAGTAGCCAGTATTATATGTATAAAATATGTCCACTCACTTGGGAAGTACAATTATTCTGGTTACATCAAAAGACAGAGCAAATAAAAAAGAGCATAGGATACAGCCACCTTTCTGCCTGTGTGTGTTTGTCTCTGAGAACAGCTATCTAATACGTCTTAGCAGTCTAGATTGTGGACAGGATAAAAGGGAACAGTGAGTTGTGTTTGTTAGCCCTTAATTTTGCTAGTCAATCAAAAAGCTGAACAGCCTGCCTGTTGCTATTACAACCTATATTATGAGGGAGACAGAGCTTGTTGCAAGAGGGATTTGACAACAAATGACACCAGGGCTGTTGACCATGTCCCTGGGGTCAAGAGCATATAGTAAAATATGGGAACTTTTTACTTAACAGTCACCAAAAAGTGTCCATCAGCAAAGGGGAATTTCTAATAATGAAAATTGGGATTTTAATCATTAGAAAAATAGCACACCACTATGACAAGGCTTGACGAACCTTGGCTACAGGCAACAGGCCCACTGGAAACTGAAGAGTGAGAATTGCACGAAACAAAAAAAACTAGGGGGGACTTCTTTGTGGGAACTGTTTTCATTTCCTCTTGGTCACTCACTCCTCCAGTCTGAGTCAACCCCTAATATGCCAGTTTATGATTTCAGTCTCACACTAAGCAAATAATGTTAGATCAGATATGTCCACCCCTACTAAAAACAAGCTATGAAACAAAAAAACTGACATGTTTAGCCTAGCGTGTTGATGACTAAAGTTAGTAAAGTACAGCATTACACCATCTCCTTTATAAACGTTATGATAATACATGCCGGGCACAAACTGGGGCTATATTACCCAACTCTTTGTGAGATCCAACGTTACATTAATCCATCTTACTCAATGTACACTTCGATAATAACGTTAGTAAAACAAGACGTTGCCTTATGTGTAAATTAATAGGCATGAATAAATAACTCTTCCTATTTAACGTTACATGTTTATGAATTAAAGTGCGTGGACTTTGTGAAATGTTTAGCAACCAAAACCGTAAACGAAAAGTGGTTTATAAAGAAGGGTACCGGGGCAGACTGGTCTTCGAGCAGCACAAAGAAAGGCAGCCAAGGCTCTTCATTACAGGCTTACTGCCACTGTTAGCTTGTCGATCGGCGAGCGAAACACTTTAGATGAGATAGAAAGAAACCAAACGTTGGATACAACACATTTGTGAATTGCCCACTCCCGTTATCTTGACACATTATCACAAATGTAGCAATATTTTAGACTAGTTTGATACACTAGACATACTTAGTGTAGCCAACTGTGCTAGCTAGGTTAGCATAGCTCACAGTCATTTTCTGACTTTGGGTATGTTCGTTTTGAATGTTACCTCCGTCTGTTATTGGATTAGCCTCACTATCTTAACTAGTCAGTGTGTTGAAGAACATTTAAGATTATTGTATGACATGTCTGTGTAACAAGCACTTAGGCAAGCATGTTTCACTTTAAAGTAACGTTATCACGTATTTGTGATGAGCCACATTACTTGGTGGTTACCGATTATCAGAGCAGTAGCTTATTACAAGCTAGCTAACGTTACGTAGTAACTAGCTAGCTTGGAATAAGCTAGTGGTTAGCTACCGGCCTTTCTTGACCGTTGAATCGTAATTGCGAATACCAACAACACGGCGTCTTATTCTGTGCTACAGATAACCCTAACCCAACTTCTCTTGATCTCCACTTTATCCAAGACTATCGATATCGTCGTCTATGATAACGCTAAACTCAGGGGAACCACTGAAGACCGGCGTAACCCGTCGTTAAAAACGTGCGCTCCTAGGAGAAGCTTCCCTGGACGCATCTTGTTGTATAAAGGCAACTGCCGATGTGTCGCCTGTCTTTTCACAATATCCTCGAATTACACTTACCATCAATATGTTTTTTATTCTCAATCCAAACCCCGACCACACGGGATGGTTTTCAACGAAGACTCGCGTCAAAGTAACAGCAAATAGCGATTGTATCCAACTTATTCTTCTTAGTTGTTTTCTCCACTTCCTGATTGAGACGGTGCCATTTTGAATAGCGAGAAAATATTTCCGCCGCTGTCGTCACACGCAGTGCCGCTTGGTGATCGCGAGCAGAGAGTAGCCCGACAGGCCATAAATAGTTCATCTTACACACACACTGATCACACTGATCACTGTCACACTGATCTCACACCTGAACCAATGCTTAACATGAGAATACATTCATTAAAATGATCGTAAAGAAACTAACTAGATTTCCTCTAGTATAATTTTGAGGCACTTGTACTATACTAGTATTTCAAAGCTGTGTTACTTTGTAGCCTACTTCTTCCGCACTACATAATACATATTTAAATAGTAGCCTACCTATTTAATACCTTTACTTGCTTTGCCGATTTGGATCAATGGTGTGAAATATAATCAACACTTACATAAGACTTTACACAAGAAAAACCCTGAAGCATAAATAGTTATTATAAAATTAGCTGCACCTTTACCAGCTTTGATAAACACATTATTGCATCAATATTTATAATCAAAACATATGATATATTATTCTAAGATGTGCACATTTTTTCACGACTAAATTGTGGCACTTTAAGTATATTTTGATGCTGATAATTTTGTACTTTTAGTTGAGTATTCTTTTTTAATGCAGGACTAGTAACAGTATTCTGTCACAACCTCAGGAGCAGTGAGTGACCCCCCCCACACACACACACTTTTTATTTATATACCAATATGTATATATATTGTTATTTGCACGTTGTTGGCATATACAGTATGTTTTGTGTTATGCTGTTGTGCCACATTAATTGTTGACTTTATGTTTAGTGTTTCTTTTTGTCTTTGTTCTGTTATAACACCTTGTATTGTATTCCTATACTCATGGTATTTCTACTTGTAGGCTACTTGTCCATCTAAGATCGAAGTATTTCTCCCACCTCTGAAAATGATAGCCAATAAGACAAGAAATTATCCAATTACTGCCCAATTATTGGCCTTAAACAACGATAAGTCCTAATAATAAGCTTCGGAAATGAATTTGATTAAATAGCCAAACATCAATTTGCCTGGTAAGATCTACAACTTGATGCTGCTTGATGTGACTTGCTTATAAATTGACATCATCTAAAAGACTAAAATGTTAATCAAACTGCAAAGGAATTTTACAGGCAAAGTGTGTTTGGGTTGGTTTTAAATTGTCCCTATACCCTACATTCGGTGTAAGTTTGTATGATCTCAAACAGTTAAAAAGCTTTCAAAGTTAATTGAGCCAATAACTTCCATTAAAAAATGAAAATGTAGTGAGGCCTATTCAACCAAAATCATTCTAGGAAAGATGTCTATAAATACATGTTAATCCATGAGACGTTGCCTATTACTGATATGCCTGTACTTCTTTATAGAGCATGTCATTTTTATGATTGAATTAGAACGTAATTTATTTTACTAATCTTAACTGGGATTGCAAGGTTTAGAATTCCTATTCTCTGTCCCTTTAAGAGGCCATAGGTCTAAATTTAGCCTGAAAATGACTATGAGCCATAATGATAGTAATAATCAAAGCTAATGAATAACCTAATGAATGTAAAAAGAGCTCATTGTGTAATATCAGAGAGGATTTTGGAGAAGAAACCAATATAAAAAAGCATCTTGCAAAAGTAAAAGTAACGCACAATAGAAGGGAAAAATATATAGAGAGAGCATAAATTGCATTATGTTTAAATTTAGGAAACATTTAAAAATGTTTATCAAAAAAGCCTTTCTGTGTTTTTTAGTGTTGGATTTTCTCTGCAACTGACACCAAATGTGTTTTGTTACTGTTCTATAGGTATTTTCATTCAAGCAAATCACCAGAATTGCTTCCCTGCAGACAGTTATTGTATACAAACCAATTTAATATTAGATGTTAAATAGGATAGATGTTCATCTATGCAGGTCGCTGTCTCATTTTGGCATCCATCTGTTCCTTCTACGTTATTGAACCATCGAGCTGGAAGAGTTCCAGTTGTTTCCAGCAAACACACAGTGCCACGGCTTTCCTGGTAAAACAGTCCCCTCTTTCCCAACATAGAAGGTTGGTGGGAATTAAAGGGCGTGTGCATGTGTGTGTGTTGTTTACATTTAAGCTACTGAAATTGTCCTCAAAGATAAAAGATACTGGCAGGGTTGTGCTTTGTCTTCCCTGTCTGATGTTGTTGTTTGGTCTTTTGTCAGACAGGTGGTGGCTGTTGATACAGGATTTAAAGGCAAGCTCCTGGCACATTTAAGTTACACCTTTATTATGCATGTTAGCTAATAATTGAAGACCATTTGAGTTAGGACTAACATTGCGTTTATCTGTTGTAGCGTCACTGTATAAGAATCAGAATTACCTTTATTTGCCAGGTGTTTGTACACATACATGTACAAGAAATATGACTTACCTGTGCTATTATTAATGTACTTACACAGAATAGGAATAGATATTACACATGTATCTGAATTGAGTCAACGCAATATCAAGCTGTGATAAACCAATTACCCTAATTTTTGGAAACATTTCTGATGTTTCTGAATATTTTAAATCAAAAGCATTTCTAATTTAACAACCTCAAAATCAATAGGGGGGGGGGGGTCTTTTCTTTTAGCTTGGCTCTGGTGCACCCTACTGGAAACATACTGCAAATACTTGGTTTGGAATTAACTGGATTTTGAGTTCTTTAAGAAATAACTGAAATATTTAAGTTGCAAACATAATTTAAAGGGCTTAGAAATATTACCCAAAGCAGAGCCCTTAAACATAGGCTCAATGAAGATTTGCAACCATTGATATTTTTTTGCAGATTGGAGAAATGGCCGCAGGAATAATTCCCACTTCCTGTTTATGTCTTCACTGCACATTTTCTGAAATAGGTCTGTAAAACTGTGTTCCTCAAACAGCTACATTCATTCATATTGTTTGCCTATTCAGCATCTGTTCATTGTTATTCTTACACAAGTTAGTGACTGTAAATAGATATGCACTCTGCATACAGTTGACGTCAACGACCTTCCTTGTGTTTTTAAAACCTTTGCAAAACCAGCAAAAAGTATTTGTTAAGAAATGTAAATCAGTGGTTACTTTTAAGGAACTTAATCCATCTCCATTTAATTTCCTTTTTTGTCATACTGATATGCAACCATGTCTTGAATTGGATCAACATTTTGATATATTTTAGGTCACAGTGTCCAAATTTTTTTGCTGGATTGAAGGAAACAAAAAAGAGCAGACAATTACATTCTTATGATCCCTGAAAACTACTGTCACATCCATACTCCTTAAACCATTGTAGTATAGCTATATGAGTGAATCATAAACGGCACACAATCACACATTTCAAAACACACATTAAGTGGATCAGGATCAGGGTCACTTAAAGTGTGTTGCTACATGAAGTGGAATGTAGGCCTCCTCACTAATACGACTTATGTAAATCTCTGACCAAACCAAATTGCTTAACTTTACCCCCAAAAGGTTCTTTGTCTCCACTTCATTATTTTCCCAGTAAAGGCCATGTCTGCCTCAAGCCAGCCCTAATTTGATTAATCCACCGAGAGGATAGCCAGACGGTAAGAGCCTGCTCTGCTTCTTTTCCATTCTATTCAAAATTGTAGATCTTATTTAGGATATTATTCCATGACATTCATATTATTTAGTTGTACTTAAAGGATTTATTTCATTTGTTCCAGTTCTCTTAAATATATTGGTTCCTTGCTTTTTGAATATTGGTTTTTAAAATATCAGTGTTACTATATTGAGGATACTGTATTGACGTGAAAACCGATAACTGTGCTTTTCTTTTCTTTTACCAGTGCTGAGGGGTTCTGAAGGGAACAGCTTTTGAAGAGATGGAGACCTTTGTATTTCTATTTTCATTTTCTGCCCTCGGCATTCTGTATGCCATGAACAGCATTCCTGCATTTCAAGAGTAAGTCAAAACACGTATTGATTTATTGAAAAAAAAATAGAGTGCTGAACAGAGTCAAGAAATGTGGGATATTGAAGAAAAAATGTGGTGCTCTTCATTGATAGTGCAAGTAAACTAAGGTCATATCTCTAGCTTTTAATTGAGGCCCACAGTGTGGATTAGCAGTCTGAAAAGCATCCAAGGCATTTTTCATGTGCTTTTAATTGTTTATTATTACATTTGTGCCAACATTGTTATGGCTACGTTTCTACACTAATTGGTGGAAACTAGTCAATTTTGTCTGTAAAATTATAGCAACAATTGTATACAACCCCAACACCTAAAAACATTAAAATTACATTAATCCAACACAAATATAATCTTTAACAATTATAATACAATTAAAATAATATAAATGTTTATTTTTTAACAGGCAATTCCTCCTGTAAATCACATGAGATGAAAAGCAGTGTTTTTTTCCACCACTAGAGTACACTATAAGGTCAAGGTATTTCTTTCTGTGTTCAATGGTGACCATGTCGTAAATCCATGATTATGTTGAGCACTACTAATTCCACAAATTTCAGTACATTTCTAGTTGTGTAAACTCCTTAAAAGATTAAACTTGGCATTTCTTGGGGCAACAGAAAAGGAAATGTGAATAGAATGTGTGGAGATAATCTGATGTTGGAGATAATTAATTTTCTCAGATAACTCAGTTATTATATTATTTTGTTATTCAATGATTTTATGTTTTGCCTGTTTATTGGGATTCTGCTCTCATTATATTGTCTTAAGAGTTGTGTACTGCCTCATGAGCTGAATAGCCAGTGAAACATGCATTCCACTCCGACACCCTTGCACTTTTTACAGCCAGATATTACTCATTTTTGACAGACTTTTACACTCCTCCTGTGTGAATATCTCTGCTGGCTCTTTTTTGAGTGTGTGGACATTGACAATCAATACATACTGCCCAGAAGAGTTTGATCAATTGCTCATGACATACAATATGCCTTGTGCTCTTCCACTCTGTAAACAAACAGTATTGTGTGCATAAATCTTTCTGCACTTTTGAATTGGAGAGTTGGCAAGGAAGCTTCACAGCATTTGTTTTCCTTCTGTGAGCACACATTGTGAGTTTTTCTGAGGCTGTAATGTTGTTTATCCGGAGATACCTTCAGCACATTAATCTTTCCAGTGTGAGAAAACTGTACCTTTGACCAGTAAACATGGAGGGCAGCGCTGAACTAACATGGCCTTATAGTAGCTTGCTGCTTCCCACACTTATGATTGATTATACCTTTGTAAAGCTGGGCTTTAAAGCTACTGGAAGGCATACCACCACAGCAGTATGAGAGGTTATTTAAGTTGAACAAAGATAAGTTGTTGTACTGTATACTAACTGTACGACAATGTTCTGTTACTTTCTTTTAGAAAATAAAAATGCATACCCTCATACAAAGAAAGATAATTGAAGGCAGTTAAAATATTCTCCTCAACAAAACATAAGCATGTAATAACATGACAGAGAGACATCATTTTGAGACTTTTTAATCAGAAATACCAGCCATTTTGATTCAGAAATTAGTTTCTTTAAACACATTATATTTGTAAAACTGATACAAGGCTACTCCTTGTACCAAAATCTCAAATAAAAGGAGCCAAGAAAAGTAGATCCAATGTGATCCTGCCATAATAAGATGACAGATAGTTTGACTTTTTTAAAATCAGAAATACCAACAATTGTGATTAAGGATTGCTTAAACTTATTATATTTGTAAAACTTCAGATTACAATGAGGCGACACATGTACTAGAAACAATCTAAGATTACAGGCGTTAAGAAAGAAAGGAAAATAATGTGATGCTGCCATCTCATCAGAAATCTGCAGGGACACAAAGCACCACGCCAGCAGTGCCTTTGTTCCCTCTGGGTGCAGTGCATCCCTCACACATATTTCTCCTCACACTTCTGAATTATTTCTCCCTGTGCTGACTCTGGGTGTTGCGTGATTATCATTCTCCCTGACTTCCCATTCATCATAATTTACTAAATTAGCACTGCCGAGCACACTGGCACAACTTCCATGTTAGAAACTAATTAGTGAAGAGAATGAAGCAGAAAATCAGAAGCAGATTGGTATCTAAAAGTGCAGAGTGTCAGCAGTGAGCCTGTGGACAATCTGTACCCTTATGTTTCTTAGATAACAGTTGGATTCCTCTTCTTTCACAGGCCTTATGTGATCTTGGAGATTGGCGTTGCTGTGTTGGTGGTTGTGTTTCTATTCTACTTCTTCATCACGCGTGGCAACCCCCCTAAAGATGTCCTATTCTTTGGTAATTAACACAACTATGTGCATTTCACAACTCACATGCAATATATTTCCAAATCACTGAATTTTACAAAGATTATATTGTATGTAACATGACTTGTGTTCAATGTGATTTCACCTGATATGTCGAAAGCAGCTTAGGTTCAGAGCAAAGCTTAACCACACTTTTCTGAGTCATGACCGACCCAAACCCCCTTCAAGCTGAGAACATTCACACCTCTTGTACATACTTAACCTTTTAGCTTTTCTTTTGAGACTTGACCTTGAAGCAAAATCACAGCTTTTGGAAAATGGGTCATACACGAAGACTCCACACTTCTGCTCCTGCATAAAACCATTACTACTACACTATCAACTGACTGTAAATGCCATAAGGGTGTTTGGATTCAGTTTTAATCATATGACAGTTGGCCCCTTGTGCACAGTTTACACACTTTTAATTTAGCTTTTAACAAGTGATTTGTGTCACATTGTTCCTCGTTAAGTTATTGTTCAAATATGTTCTCCATTTCCAGTCATTATTTCCCTGCAAATTCTCCCCTGCAGCTGATACCAGGGGCTAGGCTTGTGGGTAAGAAATGTGATATATCGGTAGTTGGTGCCCAGGGCCAGGCTAGTGTTAGGCTGGAGAAACCACAACAATGAGGACAAAGCTGCGGGAGGCTCCTCTCAATGATAGAGAGCCATAATCCCCCTGCTATCTCACCTGTTAGATGTCAGAGATAAACCTTGTTGTCCTGAGGATTACAGAGGCCCTGGTACACAGTCGAGACAAAACGCATGTGTCTGTGTGCAAAGAGTGTGTGAAGGGCAGATAGGAAGGATATGATACAGCGATTTTAAGCTGTGGTATCTGCAGCGATATGCTCGTGTCACAACACATTGTGATTCCCTTTATAATGACATTCTGACAAAAATTCCAGGCAGAAAATCATTGCAATGGCTTTTACAGCTGTTTTCTATGAACTGTATATATCCAACTGCAAATCACTGATGCAGGCGTGCGATTTTCCACAAATGATGTGCACGTTTTTAGATGCTCTGTTTCAGTTCAGCTAAAGGGATTGCTAATTCTGATAAATACTTCACAGTGTCCGTTCAGTTCTTGATGAAGTCAGTGTATGCATATCGGTTGTGCCATGCCCATAACAGTCATACCTCCCAACTGTTGTGTACAATTTTTTCCACGGATGAAGGGTCATTTGCCTCATATTGTTTACCCCACATGCTCTGCCATTGTGAATGTGAATTTTGTAGTTGATTATATCCAGGAAACATTTTCCCAGTCATTAACAATCCAATGAGCATGATTTACCAATGTCCATCTCCTTAATTATAATGTGAAGTTACATTTCATGCTGCACTGCATCCTGATGACTGAGGACTTTTTATGGTCCGAAGCATCCAGACGTCTTCTACGATCATCTGCTGAAAGTCTTCAACATGCTGTAGCCAGTGTTTTGGTGAGCCGACGTGTGTTGTAGTCCATTGATTGTTAACCAGTGAGACTGCTGCACTTTAAAAAGTCAGCCAACATCCTTAAGGTGCACGATCCTGCCCTCTTGGCACTCAAAATAACCCCCTTGTTACTTCATGTGTAAAGCCCATTTTTAGTAATCCAGTTTTTTTAAAAGAACGTTTTTTTTACACTTGGTATTAGTGATTCATATACAAAAAATATGGAAGCTGTTTCAGTTGCTTTTCTAGCTCCCAAATCTCCTGAAGAAACCTCACAGGGAATAGTAGTGTTTAGTAAGCAGTAAATGAAAGCTATTGTACTACTGGGGCCAGAGTTTCTTAGCATTTGTAAGACTCACATGCCACTCAGGTGTTTGTTCAGCTCTGCACTTTAAATTCTGTCTTGTTGACATGGTCTTTCAGCTCTAACCTTAGGTTAGCAGGGACTCAATATAAATATGCCTCCAGCATACCTTACTGCTCAAGACTTAATTTTCTCCTCCCGCTTTCCCATAAATTACTGACAAGCCAGTTGACGTCAAATGCCTTGAACTTAAAAATGTGGAATTAAAAAAGCTGGAAAAGAGTTAAGAGTTTTATAAAGGTTTAGGAGACATGCGGTTTCTAAGCATTCTTACAACATTGTATGTATTTTCCGATTAGTTGGACAAAAGAGATTGAGTCATTTCATGAAACTTTCAAAATCATGGTGGCTTTTGAATGACGTGTGTTCAAAGCTGCTTAACATGTCATGGTGTCCTGCAAGTTTTGGGGGGGTCTGAAGCTAATACTGTTTAGTTGCATTTACACGGACCAACACACACTGAAACAATATGAATTTTAAAATTATGCATTTTTCACATGTATCTATCAGATAGATGTTTTTATTTACCTGTATTGTTTATTGCCTTTGCAGTTTTTGCTGTATTTTCCTTTACTTGTGTCATTGACCTGGTGAGTGCCTTGGAATATGACGGAATTATCTCCGGCTTTATGGCATTCTACCAAAAGACAGTAGGTTTCTTATTCTCACCTCTAAAATGCTTTTGTTAATAATACAAAATACCCTGATTTAAAACGGCAGCCATATTTGAACCCACTGTTGGTCATGAACACTCTCCATGTACTGTCTGTGTTTCAGGGAGAGCCTTACCTGGGGACGCCCTATGCCATCATGATGTGTTATTGGGATGGAATAGTGCACTTTATCATGTATCTGGTGATGATCAGCAGGATAACAGACAGGTGGGTGATGATCAAGTCACATCAGGTCACATCAAGCTCATTCATCTTGCTGTCCATCACAACATGACTATACAGAAATCAACAGTACCCTATCTAACTGATGAAACAACAACTTAAGAGCTTGCGAAAGCACAGCTGTAACAGAATATTTTAGCACTAAGCCCATAGACTTGACTTGTTGTTTCATATATTAGACTTTCTTCAAGAAATAGAGACAGAGAGAGATTCACAAGTTGCCTTAATCATATCAAATTCACCAAATGGCCTGAATAAAACATTATTTTCAGGAAACAGGGTCATCTAGAGTTAGTTAGTCATACATTTGAATAAGTGGGTTCAAGAGTTCAGGGTGAGTGCTGTCTTGGTTTAGGTACTATCATATAATAAAAAAATGTTTTAAAAGGTTGCCAGCTTTTAACCACTAGGATAAATTGCACTGCGCTATGTATTACACAGAAAATGTATGATAGATGTGTAAGAAGTTAACCATTAGAGGCATGAATCGACTGACTGGCATGTATTCCCATCCAGGAAAGGCTACCGATCCCTGGGTTTGATCTGGGCTGGCTCTCTGTGTGCCAACATGAGTGTGTTCATTGCCGGTATAGTGGCAGGTGAGTCACATCTCTTATTCCCCCTCACTTGTACCGTGATGAAAAGCGTTGATCAAGTGAACATCTGCCCTGTCGTGTACCATCAGTGTCACAGTTCAGCCTGCCAACAGACATGCTCCATGCCTCATCTGCAAGCCACAGAACAAAGCAGGAAGCAGGCGTTAAGCAGCTGTTGTTGACTTTTCAAACTTCATACATGAGTGTTGCAAGATCAGACTTGTCTAAAGTCTGCTGTGTTATCATAGCCATACTGTACTGTATGCCTTAAGCTGTACAGGTTTCATTTGGATGCTTTAATACAGATGTACACTGAGATGTATATGGGTCAGTAAACAATGATAAAAGTCTCTTGCTTTTTCTTTGTGGCAGGTAAATATGGGTCAGAGATCCGTCCAGCTTTCTGGATCAACTTTCTTTTCCTCCTGATGCCTGTGTGGGGAGCCATTACACTATTCACACGGCCCAAGGACAGACCACTAATTGGTGGATACAATGTAAGTCTGATGCATGAACAACCTAACAATGTTAGCAAGTGAAACTACAATGTTCCCAAATGAAATTTAATAAGTTAGCCAGCAGTGGAAGAAGCATTACAAAATTGTACTTAAAAAATTGCATTTTGAAAACCACAATGGGAAAATACTCCAAATGTATGAAAAAGATCATGCAAACCTTACTTAAGTAAAAGAAGCCTATGTAACTATTACCAGCAAAATGAACTTAAAGTAGCAAAGATCAAAGTAAATAATTTGTATCAAAATTGTCCCTCAGTCAGGTGGAGACTCAGTCAGAGTTTTACTTGTATATATATCATGTGTTGGCTTAATATTACTGCTGCATTAACGTGTACTGCTGCCCAAATGAAAGATAAAATAAGTTAGCAACCTTCTAGTGAATTCAGTGAATCAGCCAGAGTTAGATATTTCCTAAAAGAGAACACGAGAACATAGCTAAAAAGTGTTGAATGTTGGACTTTTCATCAGATAGACACAAACACAACAACAAATGAAGACTTATGTTATTCTATAGCTGCTGGATCTGTAAAAACCCAACAGTGTGCCACACCAACTCAAATATTGATGGCATGCCAACACTACATATGAATTTGAGTTCCCTCAAGTGGCCCAAAAAATGAATAGATTAGTTGCAGGGTTTAAAAACCTGTAGAGACACACATTCCACTCTGTAGAAACAGAGGTGTCATTGAAGTGAGATTGAGGGTGTGCTCTGAAGCAACAACCTCCATCTCCATGCTCCACATTGTGTTGTCTTCTCCCCACAGGCCCAGCAGGCTCAGAGCATGAAGCTGATCTGGCGTCCTACAGATCTGATCCTGGTGGTGCTTCTGATCGCTGCCATGGCCTTCACTGCCATCAGAGGCCTGGTGAGTGTACATCACATCCATGTGTACAGACTACGAGGCTGTGATGGAAGTTTTGAAAGTCATGCAGCGTGTAATCTTGTTCATGCGGATAGGTTTAGGTAGTCGCAAGGATTCAAAATTGTGTGTATTATTGTGTTCTATTAGACGGCTTTGTAGAATACTCCATTCTGTCAATCACGGCATCCTCCTACCTACAGTTGATAATACTCTCATGTCTCTTGAGAGAGTACGTTAAGCTAGCTCCTGCAGCTCTTAAGCTAAACTCAGTGCAAAGACTAGAAACAGCAAGAGGGGCTCTGTTGAGACGTACAAATATGCCTTCCAGCACCTCTAAAGCTCACAAATGAATATGTCATTTGTGGTTTTGCAAACTGTAAACAAATACATATTGTATTTAATTAGTGAGTTTAGAGTTGGAGCAAAGCGGATCGTGATGTCTTTGGATACTTCAAGAGGTGTTTCCCCATGTTTCCTAGCTGTAGCTTCACATTTAGTGGACAGATATGTTTTGTTCACACAACTATCAGGAAGCATAGTTCCCAAAATGTCAAACTATTAATTTAACCATGTGCAGTGTGCCATTCTTTTAACCAATACTGATACTGAAAATACTAGTGTCTATGGGGACCATTCTTTTTTATATAATATCAGGCCGAAGGAAACTTGCAGTTTGTGGATTTGTCTGATTAAATTGCATTACTTTGTGTGGTTTTGCTGTTATTTTGTCCACCCTTTGTAGGTGGCTCTGGACTCTCCGCTTGAAGCCTGTTCGATTTACGTGAAGCACTATGAACCCTACCTGAAGGATCCAGTGGGCTACCCCAGAGTGATGGTGAGTGCTTTTCTTTCTCTCTCCACACTATCTGCAGCAGCACCTGAACGCCCCTCTCCAGCCTGTTTTAAATAACCAGCCACATAATGGACCTCTGCCTGCTGGATATCACTCTGAGTGCGCTGGATGCTTGCCCTTATCTCCTCCACTCTTTCAGCTTGTAGCTGATTACAGAGGCATTTTTCATCATTACAGCAACAATGAGCAAGGGCCAGTGCATCGTTGTCCCTCGATTAATTTGAGTAAGATGGTTATCAGATTATTAGTTACTGGCTCTGGGTAAGCTTTCCTTTTATTTCTGTTCTTCTGACCCTCCTCGACTGTGGGTTTTGTTGTGTTTTGTTTGGCGTACACAACTCTGTCAATAGGTTATCCAAAGACCTTGTTGGGGCTGCAGTCCAGTCACAATTGAAAGTCATTGATCAGACAAACGAACCGCATGCTGAGAACTTGATAAGCTAATCCTGCTCCCAAAGCCCCCCATCAGCATCTCACTGGGTGGGAGGAGAGCGTGTGTGCAGCATGTGAAAGTATGTCTCGAGTAGCAGCCTTTGAAAAACGGTGTGTGTGTGCGTGCGTGTGTATGCGTGTGTGTGTGTGTTTGTTTGTGTGTCTAGCATTCGCTCATTGGTGCTTCTGTGTACGTGTGAAGGAATCAGAAGTTCGGTTTGTGCAGGGTTGCAATGTTTCTGCATTGACCAACCTCTAAATTCATTGATGATGATGAACGATATGTGGCAGATTACCGTGGCAGCACCAAAAAGACATTTAAACAAAAGACTGAAGGGCATATATGATTGGCTTTCAGGCCTTGGGCTCAACTCATTAGAATTCATCAAGACCAAGAATGAAAAGAAAGCGTTCAGTGGTATAATTTGAGGGTTAAAGTGGGAAACTGGCTTTCATGCGCCAAATATTTTAAGTTGAAGGTCAAGGCGGTCTCTGTTTTGACCGTTGTGTGGGAGTAGTAATTTGTGCTGAGGGTGCAAATTTGTGTTTGAGAGAAGTGGTGAGATACTCCAGCACTGCACTTATGATACGATATTACTTTATTTGTCAGATCAAGTCTGAAATTTGACTTGCGTCACACCAGCTCCATGTCCAACATCAACAGACAAATATCCAGACACAATACATGAAACACAAACAACAAACATCTAACATAACAGCACAATCAGTGAGAGAAAACATGCTCAAAGTGCCTTCAGCGTGCATTTGATCTGGGATTTAGCTCTGTATTTACTGTGAGGATTGACTGATGCACAAAGGAGTGCTTCAGTCTGACTTTATTGAATCGTGGGACCCTGTATCTCCGATTAGATGGTAGCAGTTCATATTCACTGTTCAGAACATGGTTTGGGTCAGAGATGATGTTGTTGGACAGCCTCACTAGGTTGTTATGATAGGCTGAGTCATAGAGTCTCTGACAGGGTTGACCAACAATCTGAGCAGATTATTAACAGGTGGAGCAGTTTTGATTTTAAAGCTGCTGACAAACATTTGTACCAGGTAGTATTGCAGTACTGCAGAATGGACATGATCACAGATGTAAAGAACAACAGAAGAATTTCTCTGCTCGCTCCAAAAGACCTAAGACGGCGGAGAAAATATATTTTTAGTTTTGTCCTTTTGCACAGATATACAATGTGATCCTTCCATGACAGCAGATGCTCAGTCATTACACCCAAGTATTTGTATGAAACTCCCTGCTTGATTTCATCTGTATGGATGACAATGGGGACTTTATGGGAGTCACAATCAACGACAATCAACAGTGTAGAGAGTAAAGAGCACAGCTGAACTCACACAGCCCTGGGGGGCCCCTACATTGGTTGTGATGGCAGATGACAGGGTTTTGTTAACCTTCACAAGTTGCTCTCTACTAGTGAGGAAAGCAGCATACCAGTAAATCAGGTATGGATTTACTTCCATTTTGGCCATTTTTTACACCAAGATGTCTGCTTGTATTGTGTTGAATGCTGATGTGAAGTCTAGGAAGAGGGCTCTTGCATAGGTGTTACGTTTATCTAAATGTTTAGTGATGATGTGAACCACAGCATCTTCCGTACTGCACCCTTGTTTATAGGCAAATTGGTATGGATCAAGTTTGTCTTGTGTTGTACTGATAATAAATCAGAGCAGAATTTAAACACTTAAGAACAAGTTTGAGAAAACTGAGACTTTATTTGAGTACATTTCACATTTCAGTTATCTTATGACTGCGCTTAATGATCGTTTGATGACGTTTTACTCAACATGAGATCAGATAAAAGAGATAAAATGAACTTTTAGATCTACATAATTGGACCCCTGAACCTCTGAACCATATACATCATAAAAATAGATTAAAACATCTTATAAACTTTAATGATTTAACGCTTTACAGGGTTTTCAAAGTCTGAGATTGTAAGCCTCCCCTCAGACAAAGCTTGGAAAAATGCACCCTTAGTTCACTTACTTAAATTCAATTCCTAGATGCATTAGATGGTTGTATCATTTATTATCCCATAGTCATCGAGCCACGACACCGTAATATTGCTGTTAGTGACATTAATATGACAACACTAAATACATAAAAAAGATAATTACTGGTGGTGCATTTATCAGTGTATGTACATCACTGTACGAAAAACTCAACAATTCCCCCCAAATCCTGGATCTCAACTTCCTTTATTACTTTATCACACATTTAAGCTCCTCGATCTGATCCTCTCGTCTTAACAAATGTAATATTTCTCACTTCCATTCATCGAGCCACACCTGAAATAGTTATAGCAGCCCCCCTGGGGAGGTTCGTCTCACACTTTGAAAACCTCTGCTGTAGAGGCTACAGAGCTAAGAACACATATTTTAAAATTGTACAGAGATTTTTTTTAGTGATAGTACTTTTATTGAATACAGAAAGGTTCCAGTATTCTTCCACACTGGTGGGGCTACTTATACGCAGTGAATTATTCTGTGGGTTTGTATTTGCACATTCAAAGCAGCCCTCTTCTGTATTCAGTGAGAGTAGTGCAGTGCAGGCCAGAGGAGAATGAGGATGTTCTGTATTAATTGTCTGCTGGATTGTTGGTCAGGACCCAACAACAACACAGACTGACAGTGATGGAGAGGAAAGTACTTCTGCACAGTAAAACACTTTTCACTGGATACAGAATTAGCTTGATTATAGACTATAATATACTCACCTACTGTATTTAATTTGAGTATGTTGTGATATAATGATCAGGGTGATTAAAATGGTGAGGGAAGACACTGGTAAATGTTCATGTTTGCAATAAATGATCGACCGATCTGGTTTTCACAAGTAATATATTTTGTGTTTTCAGATGCTACACTTGTTCTTCTATGGACTACCTCTGTTGGGTGCCTTTGTTTACGGTCTCCTCAAGCCTGGGTGCACATGGATGTCAGACTGGACTTTGTTTTTAGCAGGGGCCATGATCCAGGTAACACCATGAAGACAAACGGTCAATAAATATAACTGGCTCTGAATACTTTATTTAGGATACAGGTGCTGCATATTGAAGCAGGTTGCGCTGACAGTTTTTTTTGCATTGCATCAAGTCATTAGGGTAATTGCAGCCTCTAATTAATTAAAGTTAAAGTAAAGTTTACTTTCATCAATAAGAGTTCTGACACGTGTCACTTCAATTAAACTCTTTGTAGTGAGCTCATATCCTGCTAATATGACCTGGTCCACATTTTTCCTTTGAAGCATCTTTTTTCTGTAATTAACAAGCTGCTCGTGCTTCCTCTAAAAACCTGACAGGAAGATTGGAGCCATGAACCAACAGGAAGAACTTGATTAAAGCCTTGTTTTAATGTTTATAAAAGGTGGCAAAGTTTTCAGTTTTTAATTAATAGCCAGCTTCTTAAGTCATCCCTTGTGAAGTTGCCTATGTGTTGGCCTGTATAGTTTAACAGCAGACTAATGATAAGGGAATTTAAGTAAATATTTCCCCCCATTTCTCTCCAGGAACTGTGGAAGAAACTGTGTGAATATAAACCAACTAGTGGAGTAATCATTGCAGATAGATAATATTCAGTATAAGTGGATGACAATGCAGTCTAACCTCTGCCTTGTTTGTGTCTCCTTCCAGTGCCAGTGGGCTCACATCGGGGGGTCTCTCCACCCTCGTACTACGGCTCAATTTCGTATCCCAAATGGGGTTTTCTGGTCCGTGCTGGTAGCTAACCTGCTTTATGCAGTCACTCCCATCCTGGTGGCCATGAGGGTTTGCAATAACCCCTACTTCTTCCTGAAGATCGCTCCGTTTCCTGGGCAGACCGGTTTGCCAAACAGTGAAGAGAAAGATACCAAGATCAAAGACAAATAGTTATTCTTAATCTTATCTGACCTTTGGAGGTAAATACCTGTGTGATTATTCATGAAGAGTTGTTTTATTTCAAATGCCAAAATACAAGATTATTTTGCTCAAAATATTTGGGTTTTGTTTTTAATTGAATTGCTTGATTATAACACTTTGATTCCTTATGTAATACATACTGTGAAACAGCTTATTGGTCAGTAAAGACGGTTTGTATGTAGCGTCCTAAACTAGACAATGATCACGGTAAACATTATAAATACAAATGCTGTAAATCAGCGTGATAGCATTTTCATTGTTAGCATTTTAGCACCGCAGTAAGAAAAGCCTCACAGAGCCGGTATGGAAAGACTTAGTTTTGTTTATTTTACTTCCAGCAAATAAGTGAGAACAAGGAGAGGGAACAGCATTAAATCACGTCTGTTATTAAACTCTCACAACCTTGTGCCTCAAGGACTCAGCGCAGCAAATAGCTTGTTGATGGGTGAAAACACCATGCTGTTGAGGTTTTACACCTTGTATGTTGGATGGGTCCTTCAGAAAGTGGGCAGATTGCCCCATAACAGAAACATCAAGGCCATTGAAAGAATATATATATATACAGCAGTGTATGATGAACACAAATCTAAAAATGTGCACACATAGTACAAGACTAATAGTAATATAAAAGCCAATGGCAGGAATTGTATTTCCAAGGTTAGTGCTCAATGTTCTGTATAATAGTATATAATAATGCGGGTGTAAATCAGGGGTTTCAGTTTTTACACTCTTTGCAAGTAAAGCTTTTCTAATACATATTTAAAACATCTAACCCGACATTGGAACCATTTCCGTTTACGATTTATAATTTAGACCTTTTCTCAGAGACACTGTTCACAAACGCTAAGTTTCCTTTTTACACTTGTTCCTACACCTCAGCTCTATTCAGTTCCACAATAACACAAACGAAATGCACATTATTGAGTTTGTACTTTGATGGGCAGTGGATGGGTATACTGTATGATATACAGCCATGAAGGTAACAGAATACACCACAAAGCCTGAACGACATGAACTTGAGGTGAGCTGAAAAATAATACTGCAAATCATCCTTTGTGTGTTCAACCCAAAAGGAAAGCATGTTTCCTTTGCTGAAGTTTGTAAGCATTCAAAATGAGTAATTGGATGTGATTCTTTCTGTTTGGTGCATTGAAATACTTCAACACAAAAGGAAATAACAAGGTCTTTATATTTCAGTGTGTGTAGCTGTAGGAAACCAAAACAGAAGAAGATTTAGCAATAGCAAAAAGTTATATGAAGTCTGGGAAAAAGTACATTACAGATAAACATGTAACAATTCATTTAAAAGCTAAACTAGAATAGGTTAATGACTAATTGATCGTTTTCAATGTTTCAATTTATTATAGCATCCTGACTTGGACAGCACTCTGACATGTTTCATCTTCACCATGCATTATTATACTCTTAGTTACTGACTAGTTGTTGGCCCTTCACTCTAAGTTTGGAAGGTTTGCCATGTTGTTTGGGGCAGAAATTATGAAAACGTGTGTATTGCTTATGTTTTGGATATATTGCAGAATGTCAGCCCACACACGTATGAAATAGAAATGATGGGGGTTTGAGTCTGTAGGAGGGGGAATTGATAAATACACAATATGCTTGTTATTTCTTATCTGGAGCCGCTACAGATCATTACTCACAGCTGAGTGGCAAGGATGTGCCAACATGTGCCGCAGAAGGTAAGGTAAACTTCAACAGCGGCTCTTGTCACTCTCTCTGTTGAACACATTGCCGCTGTCTGCTGCCAGCCTATCTCGCTTTAAAAATACAGATTTATTTTCCCTAAGTGGGAAAATAAGATGTGCCTCCGCCATTCTTCATTCTGTCTGATGGTGTGTGCCTAAATTGTTTTAAATTCCTTTATCCTGTTTGTTTCTTTTCTGCTGAGTGAGGCTGCTTTGTGCTCGCTCTGTGTGGGTGGCCCAGTAAAGGAGGCTGCTGTGGCTCTCATCATTGACTTTCACAAATACATCAAATGATTGAGGTTTTTGTTTGCTTAATAAGGCGAGACACCCCAGGTGAATAGGGTAATTTTTTTTACTTAAAGGTATCAGCTAGAAATTTCTCCAGTTAATTACTTACAATAAGGCAATTGTCTTTTGTATTACAAGTTTTCTGAAATAGCATGTTTAAATATGTAAATTATCCATTATCTCATTAAATATGCACATATTTTAACACATTTCAGGAATCGAAATCTGAACTTTGGATATAGCCAGATTCAAAATTCTTGTTTCATTTTGTAGTCATATTAGTATCTAAGGCTTTTACAGAAGGGATTTTGGATATCTCTTTTTATCACTCCATAAATCAGAAAATACTGTCAACAGCCCTAAAATATCCATTTTCGCCATGTTTTTAGGTATACAATGTTGTATAATTCAGGCTATGAATTATATATGAACAAACCCTTCTGTAAAAGCCTTCATAATCTTGATAGGAATATAACTGGAAGGTTTGGTGTATGTACGTGCTACTGAAGTTGAAATTTCGAACTCAGAGTAGGAGAAAAAACTCATTTTGAGAAAACGACCTTTAAAGATTGCAGTGAGGCGCTAGCTAAACCCTCCTGTTCTTTGGATGACAGCTTGCGCATCGACGCACTCCGTGAAGGTATTTCATGTTCAGGGTCATTTTTTTTTATATAACCTTGCTTCGTGCAAGTGACAATTGTTGTCGTCTTCTCTGTGAAAACATTTTTCGCCGTTCTTTTGGCATTTTGAGATTTCAATTTCTAGGTGAAAGCTAACCAGGAAGTGTTTTAGCACACCACGTGACGCATCTGAACGAATCACGTTGTCAGAAATTGACACCAGCCAATGAGATTTCGTTTCTTGGTTTAAGACCCCTTTGTGCTTTCACGACTGGTTGCTGATACAAAGGAAATGACCATATTTGGATCCGATGAGATTGTGCAGGAGAGACGGAGCTTTCCAGCGATACCTCTGTTGACATGGTGCACACAGCGGTCGCGGTACTTTATGTTACGTTAGAATGCTAACTTTTGGTGAATTTAGGAGAAATCTACAGACGCAAATAGACAAACTATAGTAAAATAAACACTTAAATGTGTATTTTGTACGTTTTCCTTCTAAAAGCCTGAAAGAAAACATGTTATGGAATCAAAATAGCACAAAATCTCAAAATTGACCAGTACTTAAAAAACGATGTTTTTGCCTGCCGTGTCTCGCCTTTAAACAAACACATTGAAACGACCAGCAGGCTTTTTGTACTAAGTTTTAGAAGCCATGTATAAATCAAACAGTTTAACTCAACATTTACTGGATAAATCCTCTTAAAGCAATACTCTTGAACGTTTCAATGTCTGTTTAAGTCACCATCAATTGCTGAATGAGAAAACACAATGGCGATTGAGACTATGGCCTACTAATGAAAGGCTTTATTTTTGCAAAACACTGGAACCAAAAACCCACCTGCTAAAACGGCTTATGGTGGTGCCGAAAAGCACACAGAGATCCTCGAACTTCAACCTTTGACTAACGATGTCATATCATCATGTGAATCTTACAGGTTCCTGGTACTAAAATGAACAGTGGTTCAAAAAACAAGATCGTAACAATGTGGAATGAATGAGGAAAGGAGAAATAAGTTGCAAGCGTTTTAATAGGCAAAAGGACTGGGTCTCTAAAGGTTATTTGAAACCAAAGGAGAATTTGCGAAAACTGTAGGTAATTGGTGAGTGGTAATGAGTAATAAGTAACAGGGTATTTTTTTAATGTAGTCAAATGATTCACCCAAAGATTTTTCACCATAAGTTAAGAGGACATATGCGGTGTAGGGGAATTATACTATAAGTACCAGGATGTATTGTGAAGTGTTAACACGTTTTATTTTTCAATGGTTAAATAAAAGAAAGACAGCAGAGACAATTGTGAATACTGTGAGGACTCTTCCCAGTGTGAAACCTGACAATGACTGACAAAATAAAACAGCAGATTTTCAACAGACAATGTGATGTGGGCCGCCAAGCCTTTTCAATTACATGCTAATGCTAATGCTTTGGATACATTTTAGTCATTTAAATGAACACACAGTGTTTTCTTGACAGGGATAAAGGAGGTTATTTACACGGTTAGATAACGCTTTATAAAACAGCATTGTAACCATTGTCTCCATCCCTAGCCCATCAATAACAGCGGCCCACTCATAAGTAATTATCCAGCGCACTTCGCTGAGCAATAGGCCAACAGACAGGGAGAGGCAAACTCATCTAATTCACTCTCCCTCAGCAGCTTTTTCATGCTGAAGTGTGCCATTGCCCCTGCTTGCACATGCTAGCAATGCATTCTCCGTGTGTGACAGAGGCTTTAAATCAAATGTGGCCGCTCCGAACAGCTCTTTAATCCCATGATGGGAGTCACAAGGGGATCTCTGCTGCAGATGCCTGCTCGGCTGTGCAGTCGGGCTCCTGAGAGCTGTGGCTCTGAAAAATACAACTAAACAATTCACGCTGCAGTGAAGGGAGAGGTAGCACTTTATCATGAAATGTCTTTTGAATGAATGGTTTTATCAACCATTGCATTACATTGTTTCATTTAAAGTATTAAGGCACCTATCATTAAGTCCTGTAGGTCCGGGCTAATAAATGGATAGTATTTTGTAATCCATCTAGAAACCAATAGGTAATGTATGAGCTTCTTACATGGTGTAAGTATAAAGATTAAGGCAGATGCTGTTTGCACCCGGGTGACTATACAGTGGATAATGGCAGCCCACTGCTCCTAACACTATGGGTCAAATGCAGAGAAACCGTTTGGTTACTACCTGTATGTAATGACAATAAAGTTGAATCTTCTTCAATCTTCAATGCTAGTAGCACCCGGGGTGTACTGTTAAAAAAGCAATCTTTCAAGCCACTATTGGGTGATATAGTCTCAAAACTGGTGATTCTGGTTGCTCACCAGTATTTGGCTCATTCTAATCCACAT